CTATCTCTCAAAGAACAATTTGGGAAATAAAGTCTCAGGAACTTTTAGACAGAGAACAAAACGGGAACAAATGTTCTCTGAAATATTCGCAAAGAATGGAAGCGAGAACTAAGTATGTCTAATAGCGTTCTATTAGTTTGATTTTTTTTTTAAAATTAGAATAGATTAAAAAGTACTAAAATATAATTATGCATATTAAGTCAACGAAAGACTTAGGACACGAACTTTTCTTGCACACAAAATGTAAAATTGTCCCATAAATGAACAGTTCACCCTTATGATAAACGATCAGGAAGTTTAAATGATCCAGCTTTGCTCTGGCTTAGAATTAAAAATCGTTCTCACTAATCCCAACACGCAGACGTCCCTATCTTTCTTAACGTTAAGTTCGCAAATTTTTTTCCCCGGTTTGTTCTCTAGCAGAACGTTCGCAAGACTTTGGTTTTTGTCTCGCAAAATGTTGAGTCCAAATACGACGAGCCTTTTTGTGGGACTTCTAAATGATACACGGCTGAGCTACTTAGGAGCTGGGAAGACCTTCAAATTGCTGCCCACTAGAGGTCAAAGGGAATGAAACAATCAAAGAGATTCCTAACTCCTTCCTTGAGTTTAGCCGGCAGGGTCTTAGTGCTTAGGACACCTGGTACCGGGCACTGCAAGTTAAAGTACCATTTGAATAAAATGGGGCTTTTTCTAGACACGGACTGCAGGTTTTGTGGGCTGGTGCGCGAAACCCCACAGCACATTCTGGGATGGGACTGCCCACGTATCATGAACCGCAGACAGATACACCTTGGGGAACTAGTACCTTCTGCATTCCAAATTTGGAACATGGCACTCTCCAATGTGATTCATTTCTTAAATAGCCTAAAGTTGAAGTTATTACAATAGTCAATTTCGTAAAAAGTTATAATGATTTTTTTCTTATTCAGATATGGCTTTATAAGGCTAAACCATCCAACTATGTATAAGAATTGAATGTTAGAAAAAAAAAAAAAAAATTTTTCCGTCGAAATCCCACTATGCGTGGTGGTAGTGTGGAGTGAGGAGGAAATTGATGAATGCAGAGATCCCGATGTTAATGTCTTTTCATTACCATAGAATAGTAAGTAACAATTGCATTTGGTGAAGAGATACCACAATGCTGAGTTTCCTGAGACTGAGTGCTGGCTTAGCTACAATACCGAGTCAGGGCCTACACATTGTGGAATCTACACTGATGGCTCTAAAACTTATAAAGGGTTAGAATCTGGAGAGTCTCTTGAAGGTAATAGGGACCATATTCACGTCTCTTTTGGGAAGTAAGCCTGGGTATTCCAAGCTGAGATATTTGCGATCCTTAAGGCCATGGACTAAGTGATGAAAAATAGGTGGAGTAGGAGGAGTTCAGATGTCTGTAGTGACAGCCAAGTTGCACTCAAGGTATTTCGCAGCACTCTAACTACTTCTGGACTAGCTCCTTTTTTCAAATGTTGGGCTTTAACAGTAGACGTAGAGTTTTAATTAATGGTTTTCAATTTTAAACGTTAACTGAATTTAACTACCCCCAAATTAATTACTTGAAATTTTTATGTAAATACCTAATGTTTAGCACACTTAATGGTCGTTAGCGAAACTATAAAAAAATACTTATACATATGTATTTTTATTCAAATGCCGTCTGCTGAATGCGGTAATGCTTTTGCCGTAAGACCGTACTACTAAAGTCGTATAATTAACGGTATAAAATTGCCGTCAACAGCGAAGTGAGAAAATGCAAAAAACCATAAAAAGCAGGTATGTATGTAAGTATGTACATACATGAATAGAAATAGCGTCCCAATGCATAAATAAAAAAAGACAAAAATTTAAATATACCCGTAAACAAGCACGTAAAAGTATAAAGTAAATGAGCAATGTGGGAAATAAATATGAATGAAAAATATGTATGTGAAAAGGAGGAAAAAATGCTAAACTAAAATCGCTTTGATGAAAGGAAAACATGGGATTTTTTTTGCGCTAATATGGCAATTAGCATATGTTTGCGCTTATAAGCAATATGTCTCGTGCTGAATGTTGCCTGTCAATGGTAAACTGATTACATACGTATGTACGTACAAACAGAGCGCATACATCATAGCACATACATATGTACATACATACAAACATGTTTACATACTCACAAATGTTGACAGCGAAAGCAGCTAGATAAACGCGTGTGTAGTCATCAGCCGCAAAAATGAGCGGCAGGGGTCAGGCGCAGAGGTCTTAGCAGCACCCTGCTAATAATAAAATGTCAAACATGCATGTAGATATGTATGCACATACAAAAAAAAAATTCTCATACTTATATACATTTGTACGAATGTAAATTTGTATGTTGGCATATGAAAGCACTCGAATGGGTAACAATTTGAATTATTTGAGTGCCCGCTCACTGGGGCGTATGAGTAATGTGCATGTAGCCAATATAGCAACTATGTGCTTACATATATGTACTATGTATGTATTTGTGAATGCTGCGAAACAAAACAAAAGCGCCTCGAATATGAGAAATTTCGCAGCGCATTTGATTACATCGACAGCAGCGGCACATTGGAAGACTTTGGCTACAGCGTGGACTTAGTGGGGTGCCTTGAATGGCTGGTATATGTATATGCGGTGACCATCCGTCCTGTATTATACGGGACAGTCCTCTTTTTTGACCCACTGGTAATTTATTTATTTTATACGGGACGCCAAATGTTCTGTATATCATTTAATGTCCTGTATTTGTCCTGTATTCGGTGTTTCGACGCCTTAACAGTTCATTAAAGTGGTATGCCTATGAACGAGTTTTAAGTGATGTTGGTATATGAACGTAATTTTCTCCATAAACAGTTATTATTTTCTAATCTGAATGCCTGTGACTGGAATCGAGGAATAATTACAGTGACCTAAATAGAAATTAGGACTCGACATTTTAGTAAGTTTTGGCTATTTTTCCTTAGTTTATTTATTGTTTATTAATTATTTTTATCAAAGTAAAGCTCTTTTCCTAGCAAAACGAATATAACAACAAATTTGCTACTTTATGCAAAAAACTATAAAAATTAATTCTGCAAACTTTTTAATTAGAATATTTAAAAAAAAAATGTTTGTTTGCAGTTTTGTAACTCATAAAAATTGAGTATAATAAAGTGCGAGAGGAAAGTTCTGCTCATTTGCTTCTCTTAAAAAATAAAATGGTCGAACATACTTACTTTGTATGAAAAAAAAGCGTAACACTGCAAAAAAAAAATGAATGCCAAAAATGAATGGTAAGCCTTAGCGACTTAAAATTGCACTTTATTTTGCTAAAATTTAATGATTTTTTTAATTTTTTTTTTAATTTTACGGGGTAAAAGGCTACTGTTACAGGGAAATACAACTAGGACGATTGAAGAAGGCTTTAAGTTCTGTGAGTTGTTGTGGAAAAAATTTGCAAAATTCTTTCTTTTTTCCCGTATTCTCATAAATATGGTCACCGTAGGTATTTAGCTGCCTGCTGGCAGCCGGTTGCCGATGCATTGAAACTGATAATTATAATGATGATTATGTCGATGATGACAACTATGTTGATTGCTGTAGCAGCATGTGCTCTTGGTCAAGCTGGGTGGCGTGCTGGATTTGTTGGTCGCGCATTGGAGTGGCAAGATGTGAGTGGCGCATCATTTGAACGAATAAAAGACATTAATTGAGTTAGCGATGGCTGGCAATCGGTTGTCCTATGTATGTATGTACATATGTACATATGTATGTATATATGTACTTATGAGTGTGAGCTACTACTAGGCAACTTGCGCTCGAGATATGGAGTACGCACATAACTATGAACATATGTATGTATGTTTGTATATACATATGCACTCGTTCGATTGGAGATGGGAGCGTGCGCGCTTATTGTTTAGTATTGAATTTTCTTTGGCGGCGAATGAGACTAAATTGTTATCGAAATAATTCAATTAATAATCACGGGTAGGCAAGTGCTTGGAAACTACGCTTCTAAGTAATAATGAAATGCATTAGAAGTGAGTGATATTAGCTTTTTTAATTGCATTTGGAGGGTTAAAATGATTGGCTCGTCGATTTAAGTAAGATTTTTTTTATCTCAAAGCAAAAATAATTGGAAAAATATATGTATGTCCCAAAAACTCAAAGTTGTTTTTTTTTCTATTGCACGAGCAACCCGTGCCGACTTGCAGTCAAAGTCAAAAATGTCAAAAATGCCCTTAAAAATATTATCCTTCAAGATTTTTAATTTTGAATTAATTTTGAAGAATCATAGTATAATTTAAATCCTATAAATATATGTATATAAGGATATTGTTGGATAAAAATTTCAAAGGATATTTTTCTTTGATTAATTTTTACGATTTCCTTGGGAGAAATCCTGCCGTCACCAAAGTCCTTTGCCAATTCGTAAGATAGAGACTTGATGTGGGACGAGCCTTTTGATGGAAATCAGGTGGAACATTTTGTGCAAAAGCAAGCTCATAATAAAATCATGTAGCATGTGAGCAAATGAAAAAGCCAAAAATATTGTTTTCTTGTTAACATTAAGGAATATAAAAAGCTCTTTAACTTCAAAACTCTAAAACGTGTGTCCTTTCCCTGGCATAGCAACGTGCGCCGGGTATTTGTTAGTTAATATGTATATACATATCGATGGTCCTGTGGAATAACGACACACTTCAAATTTCAAAAAATAAAAAGTGTTACTACTCTTAAGTGGTTCATGTCTCTAATCTTTGTCGAATCCAAGTCTAAGCTTTTATACTTACTTTAGCAATCCTTACTGCTTACTTTAGTAAATGATGGAAATGGATTAGGCTAGGATTAGAGACAAGAGTCACTTAACAATAGTAACAGTTTTTATTTTTTGAATTTTGAATTGTGTCGTTATTGCACACGGCCATCGTTATGTACATAAATTATGTTATTTGTATACAACTTGTTTTTTAACCACAAACATTTTTTTCTTTCATATGTCCGCTTCACAGGTTACGGGTGCAGGTAATGGCCTTGGTCGGGAAATCGCCATTGAGTTGGCTCGTAAGGGTTGCAAATTGGCCATTGTGGATGTGAACTCAAAAGGCTGCTACGAAACAGTTGACCTCATTACCAAAATACCAAGTGCCGTGGCCAAAGCATATAAGGTAGGTAGTCACATGCAGAGCGAAACCAATGCAAGGACGATAAATGTGTGTGCACATTAGGGTGGTCCAATATAAGTAAAGTCGGAATTTAAATGCTCTCACCCCCTAGCGTTATTATGTACATACAAAAATATAGCCCCATTTTTTATTTTGAAATAAAAAAATATTTAGAGGTCGCTCAAAGGTTTCCATGTATTTTATAAGCGAAAAACAACTTTTCGTGGAAGTGGTATGGAGTTCTTGAAAATCAATATATTTAGATCGGAAAGCAGGAGACTTCCAATAACAGTACCCAATTGTTTATTTAACTATTTTTTAATACTAAAGATTTGTTATTTATCTACCCATTGCATTTTCTGGCATTTTCTAGGGGTTTTGGCGGCCCTATAAAATATTGTTACTATGAAAAAATGTTAAAAAAAAATTGGGTATTATTATTGGGAATCTCCTGAAGAGAAACCGAGTAAGCATCGAAAAATATTTATTTTGAATACATGGAAAGCTAGGGTGCGAGAACATAACAAATTCCAACTTTACTTTTTGCACTTGCATTTTTGGACCACCCCAGTGTACTGTGTATATCTCAGCGAACACATATGTATGTATGCATGTTTGCACACAAAATCATTTTCCTTTCACTTGCAGTGGTAGTAAATATAAGCCAATTACTTGCAAGGCTACTCTCCTTACGCACTTACGCCTATTTGCATATGGTTGGACGTACACACATCCATCCATATGTACATACATGCATAAATAAGAGTATGCTCCAACAGTTGGAATATTTTACTACAAGTTTATTGAAAATAATTTACTTATCTTATTAGCCTTGCTTAAGCGGAATTCACTCCCCCGCAGCATTCATTGGAAATGTATTAAACATTTTTTTTTTGTTTTTTGTTTCTTATACAGACCGATGTCTCGTCGCCCCGTGAATTGCAACTGATGGCGGTGAAGGTTGAAAAAGAATTGGGTCCTGTTGAGATTTTAGTAAATAATGCATCCTTAATGCCGATGACCTCGACACCACATTTGACCAACGATGAAATTGAAACCATACTCACTGTTAATTTGGGTTCATATATTATGGTGAGTGGTAAAGCGTTTCATCTCATTGAAATCGTACATTACACAATTACTAAGAAACATATTTAATTTAACAGACCGTTAAGGAATTTCTACCGAAAATGGTGGCTAGAAAATCAGGACATGTTGTGGCAGTATCAGCTTTGGCAGGTGAGTGTGAAATCAGCAGCGGAAGTTACATTGAGCCATTCGAACGCGCGGTACAATTCTAAAAAACGTGGAGATGGGTGGGATGGGGATTGAATATTTTGTCATGCGCCCATCTCTTGTTCCGATGACTCATCGTTCTCAAGAGAAAGGCGGCATTCTGATGTAAAAATATGAAAACGTGTTCGGTTATGACCGCTCAAATACTCAAAGAGCAATATGATGATGGGTTTGTGTAGAAGATGAATGTCCTCCCAAGTAAATGGATAATCAGTAGCCTAGCCTGTCTAAGACACCTTACGACTCCCAACTCCTTAATGCGTTCTGAGTCGACCTATTTTTTAGTAAGGAAAACGAAGAGAATTCAGTCTAAAAAATTAGTCCAGTCCAACAAAATCAGATGATAAGATAACCCATTTGTCGCCAGTTCGGTCGCGACCTTATTTCCCTTGGTTAGGCCATTGTGCCTCGTACCCAGCACATTGTTAACTGGTTTCTTGTTACCAAGAGTTGAAGAGTACCAAAATACTATTTACAACCCTGGCGGTGAAAATCTTATCGGAGAGAGCCCTGATGGCTGCAGGGCTAGATACTTAGGTTAAAAAGCGCATATCAAATTCTTTCCGGCATGTTTTCATGTGCCCATTGCATTAGAAAGTTCAAGGCTGGGTTCATAAATACCGGCGACTCTTTTGTCTTCAATAATTGACCTGTTTGTGTACCCATCTACAAATTTGGTATCGAAGCAAGGCTGGGCGTAGGCCTTTTTGCGAGGTAAGTGCTGCAGAAACTACAAAGGATTCCACTTTTTAGCGTATTTTGTTCTTGTCAGAGATGACTTCTCCACTAGGGAGCCTAACTTCTGGAGTTATAGGGGTCAACTGTTCGTGTTACAATAGCGAGACAAACCATTTTGTTATGGCATGTAAGGTCCAATGACGATTCTGTGTGAACGAGTTAAGCCTTTCATGAACCAAGAAATAATCAGTGTGACGGATCTGCACCTGGAATATCCACCAATGAACGATTTTCACAGTATTTAAAAACGTGAAAAATGCATTAGATAAACAAATCACCAGTCATGCCCTTTAACAGCACGGAGAGAAGCTATCTCTACAAAGCCTCAATCAATCTCAGAAAAAATAAAATATATAGGTTGGTCTGGCGTTGAACGAAAACACGACAAAGTATTTCCTGGTCATACGCATATAATCTTCTTAAGCTCAGAAAAACTATTGCCAATTGGTGTTACTTAGAGCTCGGTAGGCAATTGAAAATCAGGTCACTCTCTCGATGAATTAAAATAATCGTCCTTATAAGCACCTCCTTTTATGTGACGCAGAAACGAGGACGATGTCTTACAATGATGGTAAGGTTTGGAAGACTTTCGGGAGAACTATTGTTCGCCCTTTCAAAAAGCCGATCTGCTAACGAGGAGGTCTTATTATTCTGTTGTCTTTTAGCAATAAGAGTTGCACGCTTTTTTTTATAAAACAATTGAAAGAAAGTAGGCAAGACTGTCACGAAAGTCTTACAAAAAAAATCTCCCTTGCCAACTTCCATGGTGAAAAGTCCCTTTGCCAAAAAGCTCATGTATGTATGTATACCATTTTGCTCGCGCTGCTTCAACACTCGCAATGGCCGCGTTAGCAAGACCATACAATTTAATTTAAATTTTTAGAAACTTATTTTATTTCTTATTTATTTTTGTGTTTTTTTAAGATTTTATTATTAAAAAAAAATATATATTTTTTAAGTTTAATTTGCTTTTTAAAATATCATTAGTTTTATTAAAATTTTTCTTTCTTTTTAATTTAAGTTTCTTTTAGATTTGAATTTTTTAAAGCGATTTTTATTATTGCATTTTTTTATTTTTTTATTCTTCTTTAAATTTTTAGATTATGTTATTTTAAAAAGAAAAATATTTCTCTTTAATTTAATTTAAGTTTTAGGAACTTACTTTAATTTTAATTTCAATTAATGAGAAATTAATTCAATTAATTTATAGCAACTTTTTAATTTTTTCTATTTTTTTATTTATATATTTTTAATGCACTTTTCTTTTAGTTTTTCGGTTATATTATTTCAAAAAGTGACATATTTTTATTATATCTTATTTAATTTTTAGAAACTTATTATATTTTCTTCTTTTTCTTTAATTATTATTTTATTTTTTAATTTGAGTTTCTTTTAATTTCTAGATTTTATTGCATTAAGGGAAACATTTTTTAATATGATCTAATTTTTATAAACCTTTTTTCCTCCTTTAATGTATGTTTTTTAAATAATATTTAATTTTAATTATAAGTTGTTATTGTTTTCAAAAGAAAATATATGTATTTTTTCAATTTCATGTAATTTTTAGGGCATTTATGGCTAAAAGACAAACACTTATAGCCAGTTTCACGAAACCATTTTAAGAGAGAAATGATTTTCCTATTTCAATAATAATTATTCATTTAAATTGCTTTCGTGAAACCGGCAGTAAGACCTGCTCGTTAGTAGATTTTTCCATTTGTGGGTTATATAATGTAGATCGAAAAATGACACTGAAGATGGCACAATACCGAAACTGGTTTGTCTCCTAGCCAAATTTGACAAGGCATGACGAAAAATCGCCCCACAACACCTCTTAATATTAAGGGCTATCAGGCGTCATTTTTCATCTTCTCGAAGTTTTTTCACAGGGGCTTTGGAAAAAACAGGTATTCGATTTTTTTGAATCAGTCTATTTCGCGCTTTTCAAGAGAGGCTAACGGTATCGATTACCTAAGCGGATTTCATCGCACTTCATTTGTTCCGAAACGGAATAATTCACCGAAACCTATTTCCTAATGATAATTTAACACAGATAATATTGTATTTCTCTATTCCTTCAACACACAATATAATTAAGCCGCATAATTTCACATATTTAGCTGCTCATTTCATTCTTTGAATCAAATCGAAATTTAATTATTACAGGTTTAGTACCGTTGCCCGGCGCTGGCATTTACACCGCCACCAAATATGGCATTATGGGCTTTATGGAAGCGTTGCGCGGCGAATTACGTCTATCTGATTGCGATTATATACGAACCACAGTGGCAAATGCCTATCTAATGAAGACAAGTGGCGACTTGCCGCTTCTTAGTGATGCGGGGTGAGTGTACTTACATACTTATCAGCTATAATTATGTGCATACTTGCATATAAACACATATACATAAATGTATGCAATCAATATGCTGAAAACCTGGTTGTGGCTAAGTTTATGTAAGATTATGTGTGGCATGATGAAAACCAATTAATGCTGTGCGGCAGAGATGGCGATGTTCGGCAAAAACATACATATGTACATACAAATACTTGTAAGTATCGTACATATTTATATACAGATGCATTAGCGCACACAAGGGGTGGGTTTTGGGGTTCAAACCCGCCCTAAAGCTAATAACCTCAAATACAAACTGTATCTTAAAGCTAAGAATCCAGCTCTCAAGTAAATTATAAGAAATATTTATTATAATTTCTGTTGCTTGAAAAAGCGCTTTGCTTTTGCTGTAAATTTTCATGAGGAAATAAATATACGAGCATTTTTTTCTTGAGAGCTGCAAACTGATTTATGAAAATTTGGTAGAAGAAAATTTCTTTTCCATTTCTCGTCCGTCGTTTTATATGAATTTTTCGTTTTTCTTTAGAGTTCAGTTAATTTTTCGGAACTCGAAATATTAAAAAAATTTAGCAATCGTGAAAAATCACCATCACTATCGAAAACCAGAAACCAGAAATCGAAAAAATGAACATAAAAGTGCAAACATTCATGGAATCAATAAATTAATTTTTACTGACTCTTTTTTAAAATTTTTATTAGGTACTTTTGAAAGTTGAGCGCATCTTGAGTTTATAGAACTTTTTATTAAACAAGTAGTTTTTAAGGAAAGAACACAACCGACTTCAATTCTCATATACAAATTTAGGGGTACCGTTAATTTCTTCATGATCCAATCATCGGATCTCTAAACCAAATTACGGGACGACCCTTGAGGTACCATCTTTCCAATAAAAAAAGGATTATTGAAATCGGTTCAAGTGGTAAAAAAGTTATGTATTCCGGCGAATTGATAACCTCCCCTTTTTTGAAGTCGGTTAAAACAACAAACACAAGTTCTGTTAATCTTATGTAAATAAAGTGCAGTTTATGAATTTTAAAACGTTTATTTATTTATTACATATCGTACATAAAACTTGCATAAATGTATTTTAAATAGCGTATTATCAAGCAAATTTTCAGTATTTTCCAGTGATATATCTTCAGAAATATAAAACCCCCCCTAAAATATATTCCTGGGTGCGCCCCTGCTTGTAAGTATCGTACATATATATATATGTATTTCAGTATGCCTTCTTTATAATGATGAGGAATTTAATAATCAAAAGTGCTCGCACACATAGTTACGCAAATACTCGAAGATAAAATTCGTGGCTTTCTTGGCACTTGCGGGCCGCCCTCTCTCTGCCCCTACTATTAATTGGCGTGAATTCCTGCTACATAACGATTATTGGACTACACTTTCATTGCGTTTACATACTACCCACAAATTAATAGTACATACAAACACATCAGACGTACATAACATACACCAACATACATACATACATACATACATAGATTCAATAATTATTTTATATTGTAATTTTTATGACAATCGCCATCTGTTATATGTGTACTATGGCTGCATGCGCTCGCCTAATTGGATTAACCTCAAATCATGTGCGAACAACTGGCTGTGTCCTTCCTCGCTCACCCGCTCTCCACAGCATTATGGCCAGTTATCCGGGCTTGCCGACACCCTATGTCGCAGAGAAGATCGTTCGCGGTGTGCTGTACAACGAACGTATGGTGTACGTGCCGAAAATATTTGCACTCACTGTATGGCTGCTCAGGTGAGTTTCTCAATGTGTTTGTGTGTGTGTGAATGAGTGAGTGCTAAAAGGTGGGCCATTGTTGCCAGCGTAGCAAATAATTAAATTCAATTAAGAAGCTTGCACATACAGCAGAAAAGAAAATAAAAATAAAAATAAAAATAATAATAAAATTGCGCAAACGATGGTAAGAATGCGCCACTTTACAGTTATTATTTAATTATGCTGCAATTGTGAAGCGCGTTGCCGTTGCAATTTTCGCTTTTTTTCTATTTTAATTCACTTTCCAGCATTTCTCATTCACTTCTCGTGTTTCCTCTTTTGCCACAGATTGTTGCCCACCAAGTGGCAGGATTATATGTTGCTGCGTTTCTACCACTTCGACGTGCGCAGCGCTCATCTTTTCTACTGGAAATAAGCGTGGCGCTACTGCATACCCAGATGCCATCGTCCCCCTTCAGCAATATTCTTATACTTTTAGTAAATATTTTGTATAGTTGGAGCCGTAGCAGTTCGAAGCGCGTGACGTGGTAAGGCGTGTGAAATAAATACTGCCTGCCCACTGGACCCACTTTCAGCTGGTGTGCACGCTCCCCCATACATATTTTGCGGTCACACTTTAATGCAACACTGGCGTTGCTTCTCACATTTATGCATTTACGTTTTTTCTCTTCCACACTAGCGTGGAATATTTTTGTTTATTATTATCGAGTTTTGTATTGCAAACTGTAATGTTTTTTCTTTGTTTTTTTTTAATTTGATTGCATTTTATTTCGATTCTTTTGTGTTTGCGAAAATCATTACACTCTTATATTGAAAGTGTATACCATAATTTTGTAGCGTACGAGTACAATGTTAGTCATAATAAAGTTAATAAAACAAACATATAAATTTTTAAATTGTCGTTTCTATTGGCTTTATATATTTTTTT